TCTTGGCTGCGGGCTAACCACCCGTTCAACTGAACCTCCTCCCGCCCATCGCGCGGGATGGGCTAAGAGCACCGAGGAGCTACTCGCCTTGGCAAGACATACCAAGAAGCAAACCGCTCTGTATCATACAGGGAAGCAGTGAGAGATATCTGGTTCCAACAGACTTGTCTGCGGTGATGATTATGTCGTGATCCCACCGCGTCCAACGTCCTGCTTGGCGCAGTCACATGTGGCGTGCGCGTGTCTTACAAAGCCGCGCTTCATTCCAACCAACATGAACCCAATATTCTGGATCAGGATCCTCGACAGCAGCAAGTTTGACAGCTCGCAGATCATGCCCGCTTAACCTTGACCCCAAATCTGCAATCCCATCGCTCCAAGCATGGACAAACGTCGTCGGTCAGCTCGGTCAGGGCTGGTGGGGTACGGGTAGACCCCCCCGACGTCCGCGTCGATCGGCTTAGCGGCTGTCGGTTCGCGGTTGCCGGGGCCTGCGGGGTCGGACCCGATATCGCTAGCGGTACACCGAGAGCCATCATCTCCAGTTTTTGAGCTGCTGCGCGGAGATGGGCAAAAGATGGCACGCCGCACATTTTGCCTGGTCAACGATGACATTCCATGTCCACTTTTCGGCTCCGTGATTCTCCACCGTGACACCCACCCGTCGCCAACATTCTACACGCTAGATCCAGTTCCTGACGATCCGCTGACGCAATTGGCCAATCGACTGGATGGCTGGCTACCGTTTTCTCCCAGCCACAAGAAACGGACTGGGCTTGCTGCGGAACATTTGCCCGCCTTTGGCGCGGCGCGGAAACGATGACAAAGACGATGGAAACCCTCAAGGTTGTGTAGAGGTCGAATCGGGCTTTATGCAGAGTTAATTGGGGCTCTGCCTAGCTTGGTTGTTGAAGACTTTGACGACAAACCCAGTAATGACGGCAGATGTCTTCGGCTTCGCAAGTGAACGTGAAGTTGCTGTTCGCAACCATAAGCTAGTTGCCTGGTCAATTCATTTCATTGCGGATATTCGCAAGTATCTCCCGTCGTCTCGAGTTGACCCATATGGCTTATGGCGAGGGGACGCTCCTGTCTTCTTGCCGCGTAGCACTAGTGGTCGGAGCAATGCATCCGCCCTCGAACGTCACATCAACTGGGGTTGATACCCAATCTCTCGAGATCACTCGGATCTTGGCTCAGCGGGTAGCAGATCTCACCCGAACACGGTCGGATCTCCCAGAAAGCCGCGACTCGGAGACCAGCGTCGTCGGCCGGAGCGAGGACTTTTGTTACTGGTCGAAGATGACCCGCTAAGAACCAGTCGTAGAAGGACGTGGCCGATTGGAATTACCTAGCCGCCTGTCCATGGCAAAGAGCTGAAACTAGATCGGACGCAAACACTGACCTCACTACCCCAAAGCTGGAGGTGGTGATTGTTCGTCCTTGCTGCCGCCGCCGTCGCCACCGATATCTTCGTCTCGATTCTCATTGATATGGCTCTTCCATAATTCGCCGTGGTATTCTGCAGAAGCAATCGTCATACTGAACAATCGTATTCGTCGCCGAAAGCTTTGGAACGATGGCTCGGTGCTGCCTTCGATCTAGCCGCCGGCCCGTGGAGCGGCCCCGCGACGGTTGGAGTGGGGCTATGACCGGCTCTCACCGGCCGCCACAAAATCTGTCCCTTCACCGACAGAGTGAGGCCTTCACTATGCCAATCGTAATTACACAGACAATTACCTTGGGGCTTTTGACTGAATATATCGCATGTCTCATCCTTGTTTCACATTTACTTAACTCTCAGTCTTCCTCTGCAGCTTGGAGCCGCGACGGTCGATTTCTCGCTTTCGTCTCGTGTTGATCAAGGCTCCCGCCTTGCTCTCTTCTTCATTTCTAACGACGTTCCCAAAGTAACTATCAAGTTGCCTCTGTCGTTTGTATTACTGTTTCTTCGTAATCTATGAGCGACTGGTCGCACATAAGATTGACAAACATTGTTCAGAGATAAATTCCAAATTGACGGTTAGATGTCACAGCCATACATCACACTTGGTTTATATTTGGGCTTTGTAGCTTGAGCGGCCGAGAAGCTGAGTAATATTAGAGGACTTCAACATCACAGTGAGAGAGGGCGTTTAATATGGCCGGGTTGCAGCCAATCAGCTACAGTATGCAGTGCTATTGTTGGCCTGACTAGAACCGACCAAGTCAATCCTCCTTCGGCGGCAAGCACACCTCCCGGTTCTTGGCACGCTTTCCTGCTGCCTGCGATAGCCCGTCGCTTTATATGCTCATACCCAGCCCATCTCGTTTCCCGCTGTCATACTCTGTTTTCCCCCAGCCCTTTTCCTCGGTAAAATTCACCGGGCCTCATCTGTTAAGAAATGGCATCGAATCCACTTCAGCGGGTGTCGCTGCATGTGGTAGCCGAAATCCAGACTCACCTGGACTCTTTCAAACAGCTCGGGCTCGCAATCCTGAGTCATCGTGTGTTCCATAATGCTCTTCACGATAACCTTCACTACGTAGCCCGCAGCATTATCACAAATCAGATTTCGGACGTCACTCTCCCATTCGCCCTTGTACTGCTCAAGTCAGCAAACCTCAGTGGCGATGACCACGATGGCATCCGAAATTTGCTGAATCATCTCATCACAGACATATCCGAGCCCTGCCATGCCACAGCAGCTCTCGTCAACCTTTCCCTGGACGAGTACGCAATCCTCAGCAAGAACCATGCGGCCGTCGAGTCTCTCCGCGATGATTTTTCCAGAGAGGCGATTCCTGCGTTTGTCGAAAGATTCGAGCTGGAGCATGCCGAGCATCTTAACCTGCAGGAAACGTTCCGTCTGGACAAGGCCTTCTATCGTTACCAAATCATGTGTAACCTACACTGCGGGAGGAAGGGTTTTGAAAGGAACCTCTCCCCCATCGACCGTGAATATCCTTTCTTCTCAGAATTCTCGCCATGGGTCAACGAGCAACTCATCTGCGTGTACTATTATCTTGAGAACAAGGTCGTTACTGGTATGTGTAGAAGGTATGGTGCCAGCTTCCAATCACTAACTAGCACCCGAGCATACGATGAGATTGCTGCACATGACGTCGTGTGGGGCGGAGTTCCCGTGAAATGGCGACGTGACCCTGAGGAGTTGGGCCTAGTCCAGAGCTATGTGAGTTATGCACCAAGTTCTTCCGTGTCTTCAATCTCTCAGAAACTAGTTATAGACACCTTAGCTTACGTCTGAGTTGCAGCTTTGCAACGGTCTTCCATTTCTGGTGTCGGTCATGAAGGCAAAAACTTACGAAGAGAGACTTGAACTATTAGATCAAATCGACCTTTTTGAGATGGTAGATACCGACTACCAGCCTTTCGGACAGCTGGGTCTGGCGGCAGCGACATGCGACAATTACGATCCGGAAGATCCGGAAATGCTGTTTGAACTCGATATTGTAGAGGAAGCAAGGCTGTCTCAACTTTATCAAGAGGGCAAACTAGATGTACTAGCCGGGCCAATGGATGGTCCACAGGATTCACTCTCTTCGACTCCATTCCGTGTGTGGTTGGATATGCACTGGACCGAATCAACCATGTGCTCAAATTTCAACCCCTTGGACCAAAGCTTCTGGGAATGTGGTTACGTTATGTGGGATGTCGATGAGGTCCCCGAGATGCGGTTGCGAGGCAGATGCTCGGCGATTAGACGAGAAGGGCCTTCCACCCAACGGCTGGGAGCCTCTTGGACCGACGAGGATGTCCAACGATCTGAAAGACAGAGAGCCGACCTCTGGTTGGCAGGTGCTGACGGCTACTGGCCCCGAGAGGGCTACGACTTCAGTAGAATTACCGGACTGAGCGAAGAGAAGAAACAGGCACTAGTCGAGAAATGGAAAAAGGAGACATATGATCGGTCGTAGATTTGAAAGCATGTAACGTCACACGTAGATGATATGTCCCGGACTTGAGTAAAGTTAGCCAATTGACTAGTTTTGAATATTATTAGGTGTATTCCCAGAAACTGATATCACATTTTGTTGGAACACTCACAGACGCTATTCACACGTCAGGCTCAAAAGGCTCTGACATTGTGGATTATAATTTCATTTATTTCCCACGAATACTACCACAGCGCATTTTCATGTCTTTTTAGGGAGAAATGATCACATACATTGTTGTTGCTCATTCCTTAGAGCTAACCAAGGTCAGCATGTCTTTGGCTGCCTGCCCGGCCGGCGGAGCTGCGTCGGTCCCTGTGGGGCTTCATAGCGGGTGCCGATCCGTTCACACCGGGGGAAATGAACCGGGCCCTACTAACGGAGTGGGATGCCGAACTCGAAACTGTACACAGAGTTACCGACAACGCGCCATTCTGATTCCATACGCGTTCTGAAAGCTGTGTCGAATGAACTTGTACCCTTCCGCAAGGTTATTCAACCAGATTTCGTCTGAGCATGGCCGGGGGACTGTTCGATTTTCCGGCAGACCTCGTCACGGCCCTCAAACGCTTGCCGGTACACGATTGTACTCTGACTTTACAACTGTTCATGCTTGGGTAGGGTTGCGCCGTCTTATACCGCTGCCTTCGGAGTAAGATGACTCATTATTAATCATGGAACCCCGCGCGTTTGCGAACCGCGTCAACCCATGCAGCACGGACATTTCGGTTTACGAGCATTCATATCACCACCATACGGCCTTTTCGGCCATTGCTAACACGCGAAAAGACCGAGGAATACTTTGCAAAATAAAAAGCTACCACCTCAACATCGACGAATTTCCGGGTTGCGCCGTCTGCTGTGTAAGCTGCTTAGTATTCAGTTGAGTCGTATCCGGCGGCTCGTCCGGATTTGCGAGAGACTCGGTTGAGCGATGGTGATAGTGGGCGGGAGCGAGGTCATATAAAGGCATGGAGTTCATCGAGATCGCTGAGATGAACTTCATATCATCAATCACAGACTAACAAACACTTCACCAACGACGCATCAAGATCAAAGACAACATGACCGAAACTGTTCTCGTGTTTGGCGCCTCTGGCAATATGGGCATCGCCGCCATTATCGGCGCCATCAACGCCAAGCACAATGTTATTGCCATCGTACGCAACGAGGAAAGCGCGGAGAAGATCTTCAAATATGTCGGCACGCGCGAGGGCATCACGACAGTCGAGGCCGACACGACTTCGGAAGACTCGATTAAGGGGGTGGTCGACCAGGTACGGGAGGGCAAGCTGCCTTCCTTCCAACACGTCTGGGCCTCGCGTAAGTTTCATCAAAAGTTCAGAAGCGCTAGACCATAAAGCTGAAATATCTTTATTAGCTGGCTGGGTTTACGCGGACGCGAAGATCCTGGACCTCGACGTGGCCGCGTTCCGCGCGAGTATGACCGCGAACTTTGAGACGTACATCAGTCAGTGAAACAAAAAAGAACTCACTTCTTCAAGAAATACATCAGAAGCTAACTACCGCATATTACAGTTGCTTACCGCGCTACTGTGCCTTACCTGCTCGATCAGGGCTTTCCTGGGACTACCTGGACGATGTGTACCGGCGCCCAGGGCGAATGGGGCCTTCGAGTGGCTCCGGCCGTGACTCAGGGCGCCCTATTCAGCTTTGCCGTCGCGGCGGCTCGCGAGAACGAGGACACCAACATCCGCTTCAATGAAGTCTACCTCGCCTACCGGGTTCAGCTCGAGGTTGAGCCGGGCATGACAAACTTCCACGGTTTCCCGATCACCACTAGCAGGGAGTTCGCCCCTGTGTTTGAGAAGCTACTCAACAGGACGGATATTAGAGGGAGCAGGGTCAAGGCTATCAAGCCTCAAGATGTTGTTGAATTGAAGTTTGAGAAGAAGTACTAGGAATTTTTGTCGACTGAAACAAGGCCTGGGATACGTCAGTGTGTATAGTTTGGAAGGCCGCTTCTGATGTTCATCACATCCAGTACATATCAACCCTAATGATAGGTAGTGTTCTAATGGTCACAGGAGTTCTAGATTGGGTGAGAGCATGTACATTTGTATTACATTCAGCAGTCAACACGATTAGCGATTAGTTGTTTCGGGCGTAGTGCCAATTCTGCCAAGAAACACATACCCCAAAGGCTCGGCGTAGTCACAAATTTGAATCCATCCAACCCCTTCCAAATGTGCGGAACAAGCACCAACGTGAACGATAATCATCTGTACCGACTGACAATGTCGTTGGAACGGGCGTTGGTTGCCTTATTCTTACTTTAAATGGGGGTTATTACAGCGGAAACCCCCTTTAGCAGATTGAAGCTCCCGACTTGGCATAACCGTATCTCTGTAACCGTAATCAGCTTCTCTTGACTTTTGAACTTTTTTCCAGATCTCATCATCTCTTACCTTGTTCCATCCAGGGACATGGAGATATCCTGTATTTAATGGTCAGTTCAATGTTCATGATTCCGTGTTGAAACATTGACTAGAAAACATACCAGGCTCCATACAACCATTGCTACGGCCCTTGCAGATGGAAGCCGCCCAGCCGACAGCATCAGCCCACTCGTTGACGTTGCACGGGTTCGCAGTGTACGCGCACATGTACGAGACGGAGGTTCCCTGGTAATTCGCGAAGACGGTGTTCTTCGGAAACTTGTGATCGCCGTTCGCCTTGCACTGAGCGTAGAACGCGTCCCAGCCGTGCTGGTAGAAGTCGTTCTCCAAGAACCAGTCCCCACCGGGGCACCACGGGTAGGTTCCAGAAGGCCAGTTGTACCGCTTGTTGGCGCGGAAGCTGTTGCTGGCAGCGTCGCGCTTTGCAATAGCGGCCGGAGCAGAGTCAGTGGTGTTGACAGTTATGTCGGTCCAAGTTGGCTTGCCCTCTCCGTCGATGCTGATGATGTAGCTTCCATCAGCAAGGTCGGGGAGCTGAATCGTTTCACCCAGAGCCGAGCCAACGGCAGCGGCGGAGAGGAGAATGGATGAAATCTTCATTGCGAGTAAGTGGGGTTGAGATTGTTCGTTATGCGGATTAAAAAAGGTTTGAAGAATCTTTGATGGCAGTCAAGACTTGGTGAAGATAAATAGCACAAAGGGAGGAAATATTATGTCATTTATACCCAGGCAGTAACGGAGGTCATTCAAAAGGAAATACTCTTTGATATCTCCATCTTCTAAACTGACAACTCATCTCCGGGTGCACCCTCCACGGCTGAGGCTCAACAACTGGCGGCTAAGGGACAGAGGCCTGATCGAAGGAACGTCGTGACCCCGAGTCTTTCCGGGAATGGTGGCCCAGCATTTGTCACTTCACGATGTCTTTCTTTTACTAAGCGCCCTATCCCTTGGGTTGCACTGTGGCGCCAGATATTAGGCAGCTGCAATTGCAATTTCTGTAAGTAAGACTAACTCTGACTTGCAACCATCTGGAGTGAAATAGCCTTACCCCTTTGGTGGTTACAAGCTGACATTGGTCTCACTTAAGGGTTCTAAAGACTGGCTCGTATACGCTAAGTTGTGGAGTTGTTGAGACAAAAGTGTCGCTTACCCTTCAGCTCCTTCTTGATAAGGCTACTGCAGGTGGGCGATGAGTAATCGCGACACTATTCACAACTCGATCCACTCACGAGCGACTCAGCTCAGCTCAGCTTCTGATGAACCCTTGAAATAGACTATTTTTAAAGAAGTCGCAGCAAGTGGGCATTCAAAATGCTTAAATGTGCTCATGTCTTGGGGGCCGTTTGGGCCCTGCAACCGCAGCAATACAAGGCAGCAGGGTGATCAGTGTGTCATCAAAGTTGCGAGCATGAGACGAATTTGAGACGAACGACCGGAGACCAACGCCTTACGCAGTAAAGTGCCATAGTAAATGCGTTACGACCGGCAGGATACGGAAATGGCGTTCAACGGTCTAGATAAGAACAGAACGGTGTCAAGCCGACGGGGGCTGTCTCAAACCGATCATACGATATCACGGGGAAGGTAGTCACGTTGTGTATTTGTGGCGCTGAACTTTGAAGATGTAACGAATCAGATGTATTGCTTTTTCAACTCAGGGGTATCGCTCGGTTGACCATCCTCAGCTGAAGCGCGAGGGGACAAGTTTGTGTGTTGGACAGGCGCGCAACGAGCCTATTCAACCGCCAATAATAACGGGAACAATAATAGGAACAAATACACCCCCACGATAACCACCTCCAGCTCCGGTTCCACAGGCTCTTTTCCCAAAACCATTGTCCTCGAGATCTTGCATGGGCTCATCGGCCGGGAATAGTTCGTGTCGTTTCTCGAACGCTTCGTTGCTGTCGTATACTTCGGCGTTCTTGAGTGAGACTTTGGAGCCGATGCCGAGTTCTTCTTCGCTGTTGAACATGTAGAAGGTTCCTGGTGGTGCGGTGCCGTCGCAATTTGATTCGGCCACGACTTTCTCCTCTGCATTGGCGCAGTAGACCTTGCCGGCGTTGGCGCCTTGAACAAGAAGGAAGGCTGCGGCAGTGGCTCGCAAGCTGTTGAGTTCGATGTGGCGCTTCATGTTTCTTAGAAGTAGAAGATGGATTGAATTGTGGAGAGACAAGATGTGCGCTGAGAGACCTGGTGATGTGCTGTGCCAGTTGTTATGTCTTTATCCCGAAGACTCGGTATCGGTTCTTGACAGCAACATGATTCAGCACAACCGGAGGGTTCTGAGCTGTAGGCTTTATGTGCTCTGTCTGAAGCACTGGTAAAGGTAAGTTTAGCCTGTAATTTAGGCTCGCTGGGGTAGAATAAACTCGGGGAACCCATTTAGAGCCGTGTATTGTCAGGAGATCAATCTAATAGACATTTTCATAACTGACTCGAGTCTCGAATTAATCAACGTGGCTGTGAAAGGCCTTAGAAAATTATGTCAATGCACCTATGATCTTCGTTTTCCCCTATTAAAAATGCGAGGCAGTTGACGGTTCCTGACTCGCTTATGCATAAAAATTTCAATTATGCTCGTCGGCCTATCCGACTAATGGGATTGTACCTGAATGCCAAGACAAATTCGATGTGTTGTCGAAAATTGTGCAAACTCTAGTTTACGGGAGTTGCTCTGATGGTACCGGTCAAGAGAGTTAAAGAACATGGCCTGCCCAGGTGCGTGGGCCCGACTTTCCGCATTCACAAAGATCAGACGTAATCACCTCAACTACATCGTCATTACTGCACTTCGTCATTCTTGATTGAACAGTTGCCCTCTTTCACATCGTACTTTCGCAATGCGCTTCTCCTTCCTCCTCCCACTATTCGCCACGGCCGCATTGGCAGCAGATCAAGGCAAAGGCTGCGATGTTCAGGATGCCATAGACTGTTCAGGCGACAATGTGGTAAAGTGCTATGTTTTCGCAGGCAACACTGGGATGACTTGGAACTTTGTAAGCTCCCTGCTTCGAGCCGCCCTCCAACAAGAACAACCAAAGCTGACCCTTCTACGCAGGAGACATCATGCCCCGATCAAGGACAAGTCTGCAACACCGGAAACTGCCAAACGGTTGCGATGCAGGCCGATCAGGGCAAAGACTGCGTGTACAAGGACGCCTTTGGGTGCTCTGGGAACAATATTGTACAGTGCAATGTCTTCCCAGGCAGGGACAAAATGACATGGAACTATGTAAGTCCATCATCTCATATTGCGTGGAGTGACAGAGCCAGTCAAGCTGACCATTTATAAACAGTTTGAGTCGTGCGCGGACAAGGGGCAGGTCTGCGCTGGCAACGTTTGCCAAACCTGCTAAATGCATTCATTTGTTTTTTTCAAGTCACCTATATACCATCTTCGTTCTAGCCAAAATTGCATCATTCAGTCATTCTCACTTTGTTCCCGTAATTGTAGATGTGACCTTGGGAACGTAAGCAAGTCGTTCTGGGTGTGCTGATAAGCCGAGTGAAGGGCTGTGTGGCCCGGGAAATTATCCACTTTGCTAGGATTCGTAGACGCGAGTAGCAGCAGTTTGCTCATCTACATCTATTTACCCTAATTCAGTCGTGTATGTGATAGCGGTCAAGTCTCGAGGTTCTCTGAGAAAAGAGTGACACGTCACTAAGGGGGTTAGGGTTCCCTGTGATCGTGGCCAGCCAAGTTCCTTGTCCACAAGGGATGCTGAAACCTACAACCACAACTTCTGAGTAAATATAGCTGAGATCTATTTCAAAAGACATCATATCCAAGACAAAAGTTTAACCGGGTTGTGACATGAATCGAAAAGAAGGCACTGACACCTGAAGTACCTTCACTCAGTTGAGTACCTAACGGACGCAGCAAAAAGACATACAACACCGGGCATTCGCCGGTCGTCACCGACCCGACTACTACTCCAGCCCTCATTGGCTTATCTATGGGAGAGCGGACGGGATCCCGAGTTTTCCAATGGGTATGGTCGTATGTGGCGGATGTCCATGTTGGAGTTGACTATGAATGGTGACTGGATTGATCGTCGCCGCTAATGCCGCCCCCATTAGGTTCATGAATGTTCCAGTGAAAGACGCCAATGTGTTAGTTCAAAGATGGGAAGAAATCGTCTTTACAGAGTCCATGGCACTGTTGCTGTAGGCGATTTAGACATCTTATGCCACCGGCATGCCAAGCCGCCGTAATGTCGTTCATTCCGGCCCATATGCCCATGCCGAAACCAAGTACCTTTGAAGTGAATTTCTCCAAGGACCACGCATTATGTCGGGCCTGAGTACTGACACAGAATAGTTGGGTTCCGGTGCGATCATCAAGATAGGATTATGAACAGCCGAAGAATATGGTGTCGAAAGGTTGTGGCAAATCCCCGCCGAGCCATCGTTCGGGATGACTAGCGTAGAGCATCACTTAAATTACGAAGAGATAATAGGAGCTTCTCTGAGATCTTGTCATGCGTCCGTGAGTCGGGTAGAATTATGCCGATACCCTTCAGTAACCTGATGGCCGACGGCATCGGTGTATTCCGCCTTCTTGGAAAACACAGAGATGCAAGTCAGTATAAAGATGTCTTGAATAGCTAGATCTAAGCAATGTTTACTCAAAATAAGCTACGCAAAACACCGAATCTGTCTGGCCCTTACTTGCCGCTCCTCCATAGGTTCACCAAGAACTGAGACTCATACTTTCCACCTGTGTGCAGCCTATGCCGCCCAACATTGTAATTCACCATGCGCTTGTCCAAACCTTCAAACTCGGGCACAATTGGAAGACGACCCCTGACCTCGAGCCTCATAGATTCTCCAGCATCGAAGATCATACCACCAGACCAGAGACTAATCTCAAGCTCGACAACTTCGCCGCGGCGTAATGCTTGTGGTGCGGTATGTGGATGGTACACGTACGCGGGTCCCATTAGTTCCATGTATGCATCTTGATCAAGGCCCTCAAGCGACTCATTTGCGATGGCGCGATGCGACGCACGAAGCCGGCCGTTGGGTCCAATGTAGCGCCTGCAGAGAATTTGCCTGTGTTAGAGGGTTCTGAGGCGTATGGTTTCTGACTATGATGATAAACTTAAGCACGGTTGTAACTTACCAGATGTTCTCGTTCGGAATATCGTCAACTGTTGTGCCCTTTGGGAGGTCTTCCATGGGAATGTTCTGGTGCCACAGTGCTTTGCCGTTCTTATCCAGCTTGCGTAGCACAACGTAGACATCCTGTAGAAGTTCGTTCAGATGTAAGCATTACGATTTACGCACGCAAATGGCCCCCCTGAACGGAAAACTTACCATATCGTCATGATCAATCGTTGACATGTACACTTTAGCCTTCGAGACACCAGACAGCTCAGTGTATTCCTCGAAGGTGTGGATGAACGAGCATCCATCGTCAGAAGGCGAATCCGCTTGATATTCAAACGCGCTCTCAGTTGGGGGATTGCGGTGTCCTAGAGCTCCGCCTGTAGCATCAAGGAACAAGGTTTCGTACCTGAATTTGGCCGGCGGAAACTGCGAAGCCGGTTCGTTGACTATGCTTGGCCGATTGTAGCCCAGCAGTAAGTATCGGACCCTGGGCGTAGTCTCCCAGCCATTGTCCTTGTCGAGGATGTACTTGTCGAAGAATCGCTGTAAGTCGTCAAGATTCTCTTGCTTGTAGATGTCGTGCCATTCCTGGGTTGCCGTCCAGCGCAACCTATTTCGGCGTTTCAGCAGTTAGAGTGGATATTAATGCGCCTCACTCCGACGGTAGACGTACCATTTCTCAGATGATCGAGAGAGCTGGAATCCTCTGACTGATCCCTCGGTATGTAGCCCAGTTGAGAAGCTGGCAGTGGCATACATCGGAACAGTAATGTTGCGGAGCTTCGGCTTCTTGTCTTCCCAATAGTCGTTCCAAGTACCATACTTTTCCACCATCGCGCCAACGTCCTCGCGCATCCCAGGTCCTATGACAAATTTTACGTTAGAAAAGGCTCGCAAATAACACCCACATGAGAAGCACCCAACGCTTACCGCATGCCCACCCCATCAACACGTCCCAGAAAGCATGGTCAGGAATGCCACCACGACATATAGACTCTCTGTAGTAGTCTCCAAGCCCTTCCCAAGGCGCCATGCAAGTCAGATGAGGAGGCTGCTCAGCAGCGATGAACCACTGCGTTGTCGCAAGCCATGAGTTCCCGGCCATGGCGACCCTCTTGTTGCACCATGGTTGCTGCGCAATCCACTCAATACAGTCATATCCGTCACGGCCTTCTTGGGTTCCGTACACGTGAAGATCCCCGCCGGATTTGAAAGACCCTCGAGCGTCGATATTGACAACAGCGTAACCGCGGGCGACCCACTCAGCAGGGTCAGGAGCCTCCCACTTTTCAAGACCACTCGTCGCAGAGCGAGGCACGCCGACTCTCCACGGGAACATGTCGAGCTGCTGCATACCGGTTCCAGTCTTGCCGTATGGGCTCCAGGGCATGATGGCTGGGACAGGCTTGTCGTCAGATGTCAGCGGACGAAAAACGTCAGCCAACAGCTCGACACCATCTCGGAGCGGAATGCGGACATCCTTCTCCCAGACCGTATCGACGGCAAAAGCCTTGCGACCCTCGTCTTTGGTCCATCCTTTGGAGATGATTCGCCTCTCAGAAGAGCCATAGGCAATCCAGGTATTCTTTGGCTCATGGTCGAGCTCGGTAAACAAGACGGGTACAGAGAACGGCTGTGCAGTTTGTGCCATGGTGTTAAGTTCTTCGTAGTTCAACATACAATGATAATGAAAATATCTGAAGTTTTGAAATGTAAACAATTTTCCACGTATTATAAAGTATACTACTTACTGAGAACTCCGCAATCCCCAGATTGGTTTTGCGATACTCCAAAGACGGGCCCCCCACCCCCGCAATCGGAGACGCGCTGCATCCAGGTCAGAAACCGGGATGAGCAAGGATGTGCTGAACTCTTTGACTTGCGATGGGGGGAGCCCCCGGTGGGGAGAGACGGAGAGCGAGCGTTGTCCCGTTGTCGTCTTTGACGTGAGGTGGCTTGGTTTTCCAGATTGGCCAAACAGCTCGCTTAAATCGCACAACAAACTAATAAGACGTACACTTTAGGCGCTCTCCAGACATCGAGCCATTTGAATCTTGACCTAGAGAAACTAGAATTAGCTTGTGAGCTTAACTTATGTTCAGTTACAACACTGGAATAGTAGAAGGCCATGCGGAAGTTGTCTAAGACAGTAGCATACCACCCGCAATAATGGATGGGGACTTCTTAACTTCGTTTTGACTATTAGACAAGCTGTAGATACCTTACTGTGCTATTCAAACTCAAGCTCTGGTTCCTCTCCTCCTGACGCTAAAGAGCACTTTCTGCGGTTTAACAAACCACCTGTTCATTGTCTTCAACCCCCCACTAATACACTTGAACTCATACCGTCTGACCAGCTCTGGAATCAACTTCACCATCTCCAGGTGGGATATATGCTTCCCTATGCAGGTCCTTGCGCCCGCTCCGAAAGGCAGGTAGTACTGCTCCATGGCCGCCAATGTCTCCGAGGAGGTGTAATTGGGATCCCACCGTTCTGGTACGAAGTCTGCGGCGTTCGTGCCAAAGACATCTGTGTCCCGGTGCGCTACCCATGGATTGACACCGATGAGTGCCTGTCAAAAGCTGTCAGTAAATTTTCATGCGGCTGTGCCATGTTGTAAAGACGTACCCCAGGTGGAAAATGGGTTCCATCGACGTCCAGACCTGACCCTACGACTTCGCGCCACATGGGCAAGCCGACGGCTGGATGGAGTCGCAGGGCTTCTTTGATGACCATCTGGAGGTACGAAAGTTGCTGGGCTTGGTCAAAAGTGATATGTTCGTCGAGACTAGAGCAGAAGCCTTGAGAATCGAGCTCTTCGTACAAGCGCTCTGCGACACCATTGGTGGTGAGGAGGTGATATAGCGCACTTGTTAGAGAGATGCTTGTGGTGTCACTACCGGCTGCGACGTTTCCTGTCAGAGTAATCGTTCGAATACGAAACTTTTCGTATTCCTCCGGGTCTTCCTTTTGCAGTCGTTGAACTCTTGCCAGGAAGGTCTCTCCGCCATGCTTTTCCTTGATGTCAATTTCATCGCTCTCAGATTGGAGCTTTCGCGCAAAACTTGCGATACCACGAACAGGGTTACCGTAAAGGATAAAAAGTATTGGCAGTAGGACAGCGTTGACGCCCGAAAGTGTGGAAAAGGCATTGGCGTTTTCTAGACCTCGCATGATGCCGTCGACATCTTGTCCGCCAGATTCCAAGAAACCCACTCGTCTGCCGGACTGTTATGAAATTTAGAAAATTGATGCAATCGGGCAAACAAGCCAACACCAAACTCACCGTGATCTCACCGATCACATCGAATGCATAGCACTGCATCCACTGCTGCAGGTCGAACGTCTCTCCGCTTTCGGCGAACTCATCGAAACGCTTCAGAAGAAGCGCAGCACAGCTGTCCACATAGGGCTCGTAGGACTTGATTGTCGACATGGAGTACATGCTGGCGACTTTGCGGCGCATGAGGCCATGCACGGCGCGATCGCGCGCGCTGAATAGGTTGTGATTCGGGATGCGAGGATCTCCCCAGGCATCGTACCATTTGCTTTTTGGTAAAGGAGATGAGATGCCATAGATTACACGGGCCATGGCCGGGTCATCGATGCTGTACATGCGAGGCCCGATCCGAACGATTTTCCTGGCTTTGGTGGTCATGAGTAACGGGCCAGGAAGTGAGTAGAGCCAAATAGTAGTCACTTACAGCCTTCCCTATGTGCTTCGATGTCGTATGCCTCATACTTGCCCTGCCATATTTTCCAGATGTACCATGCGTCAGTCCATTTGGCGAGTGCAGGTCCGTACGCTCCAGGGAGTGAAAGACATGAACGGATGTGGCTGAGCAGCCAGCTGATGGCAAGGAGCGCGAGGGAACCAAAGAGCACAAGATAAGACATGGCAATTTTCGCCTGGAGATGCTTTGTTTGGAAATTCGTAGTGTAGGCAAAGCTTATAACGTATGGTTCCTGAGAAATGAGTGCGCGGGGAAACACTAGTGACGTCGCAGGATGTGGTGGGGTGCCGAAACTCTCAAGGCAAGTGGCGGTGGGGTAGTTGAGTCTCTTGTAGAAGAGAATATTAACGCGGGGTTGAAGTCATATCATGAAAATTCCATAGCCTACGTTAAAACAGTAGAAGACACGATAGCGAAACGTGTCGATTAATGGCGCACATGCTTTGAAGGCTCACGTGTGATTCAATGACTATGAAGGATAGGAAGGATAGGGTGTCCAGGCCATCTTGAGTTAATAGGTGTAGATATTGATATTACTACTTGCTTATCCTACTTCTGAGCGCTCATATGCTCCTGGCGAGCTTTCTCCATGTGAGGATGGCCATAGAATACCTTACCTTCGGGGCCATCCAGTGCTGCTGCCTTCTCAATCTCCTCGTAGATCTGACCATCGACTGGCGCATCTTTAGCCGAAAGAAGCTCGATGGTCTTTTTAGCGCGATCTGCCTTCGATGTAGATGTCACGAGAATGCCGCCAAGACGGTAGTATGCCCAGCTGAGCAGCAGATCAGCTGTGGACAGCTTCGTCTGCTTTGACTGCTCTTCCAACTTCTGTAACAATGCTGTGCTATCTTGACTAGCCAAGCGACCGTTAACGGCTGTCAAAATCCCGTAGTCTGCGCGGCTGTCAGCTTGGGAGATTCATTCCCCAAAGACTTGGCTGGATGGTGTTCATACTCATTGCGACAACATTGTGCTTGACTTCGAACTCGCGGAGTTGCCGAAATTTGGGGTCAGACAGCAAGAATGGATTGAATTCGTACTCGTTCAGCTGCGGAGGGTGCTTAAGGTCTCTGGCGTTGAAGATGTCATGGTAATCGGGCAAGGTCCTACAAGTCGCGCTCGTGAGCCTTGATCTTCCTACATCACATGGTCGTGTTATTGACAACATACCAATTCGACACGCCAACAATGCGAGCAATTCCCTGATCCTTGAGATCTTCCAGCACACGCCATGCCTCGCGATTTGTCATGTTCCCAGCGTAACCGCGGGGCGGGAAGTGCAACTGCAGAATGTCGACATAACCTTCTAATATCCCAAACCGCTCAACCTCCTGCTTTACGGCTTGGATCATGTGATCGCGCCCTCGACATCCTAACAATGCGTAGGTGTTGATCTTTAGGGATAGGAAGATCTCGGAGCGTTTGAGATTGCTGTGGCGGAGGACTTTCGCAAAGCTGTCGTTGTTGGTGTAGATATCGCCAGTATTGAAGTGGCGGAAGCCCGCGTAAATCGCTTGTTGAATTTCGACGCTGCTGTCCGTAGGAAGTGGGTGAGTGTGGCCGGGTGCCCACTTCATGAGGGTTCCCACTCCGAAGCATAGGCGGGGTACGGCTATTCCTGAAATGTTGATTGTTGCCATGGCTGTTCCGTGTCTCCAGACGTCAGATGCGTTGGGTGTTGGCAGCACACAAGAAGCCCTCGTACGGTGGGTGGATGCTTTTACGGTGAGGAGAGGAACATGACGCCGTCGTCCAAGGTTCCGTGCTTCATACGGATGCCTCCGCATTGTGGGGTATTCCGATGTGGTGTTGTGCCGTACCTCCAGAGCAATCAACAAGACCACAATGCGGGCCTCTTGGCACAGGCGATAATTACTTTAGATAGACCTCGTGGCTTCCGAGATGGGAAATGTCTCTTCATTCTAACTACCGCGGTTGGTTGTCACGCAGATAGCCTTTTCATTCACTTTAACCGTATTAGTCACCATGGTCTCGTCCAAGTTTCTTCCTCACGAAGGAAATCATCGCAAAATTCGAGTCGCCATCATTGGCGCAGGCATCTCTGGACTTGCCGTCGCCAACGGCTTGCTGAAAGACCCAGCTGGAAAATTCGATGTCCAGGTCTTCGAACGTGATACCATTGCCTTCAACTCAGAGCGTGGCGGGTATCAGCTCCGCATCAGCGCCAATGGCTTGAACGCTCTGAAGACAGTCTCCGACCCTGAACTTTGGTCCTTGATCCGCGAGGTTTGGGCCGGTGATCAGGCGGAAGCGCCCACGATTGTTGACCCCAAGACTTTCGCGGCTCGCCTACGCTTAGGCGATCTCAAGTTGTATCCCAAGAGTCAGGCTATACCCAGAACGGGACTGCGTGGTGCTCTCCTGCAGCCGTTACTTGTTCAAGGGCGGGTTCACTTCAGCCATACCTTCACTCGCTTTGAGCTCATGCCGGGCGAGCAATGCGGCGTGCTGCTGTACTTCGATGGCCAAGCTTCACAGGAGGCCGACATTCTTATCGCATCAGACGGTAGCGGCAGCCAGGTCAACCGGCAGGTTGGCCTAAATAACAAGATTAAGCTGGAGGCCATGACCTTGATTCAGTCTCGCGGCACCATTTCACGATCCGTACTGGATGAGCTGCCCGAGTCGCTCGTCGAATCTGGCTCGGTGATGTTCTTGGGCGGCAAAGACGTTGCTGGATTTTCATCTGTCTACGACGCCAAGAAGGACCTTAATACCGGTGATACAGAGTCATACACGTTGTTCTGGTCAGTCGGTATACCCAGAGCTCGGGGAGACGAGCTGATAGCGAAGGCCGGCTCGAACCCTCAAAAAATAATTCCTCTCCTTATAGATTACTTCCGAAACGACCTGGGCTACGGCGAACCTTTGGAAATTATCATACGATCGGCCACCGAGGCTATCCGGACAGGTCTTGTGACCAGCTCCTTCAAGCCTAAGACGGATTGGCGGAATGGTATCGACAAGAATTCGCGGGTGATCCTCCTCGGCGACGCGGTGCATCCAATGACGCCGGGCCGAGGTATGGGTGCAAACCAGGCACTGACTGATGCTGGAAATCTTGTCGAGCTTTTTCACCAAGCAACATTCGAGAAGGACGTGCCGTCTGATGGAGAGCTTGCCGCCTTGGTGCGCACATTCGACGCGGAGATGTACCCACGCGCATTCAAGATGGTGAAGGCCAGTGAGAGTGTAACCTCGCTGGACTTGACGACGGTGTCGGGCAAGATGATCATAGGTTTCATTGGAATGGCATTGACCGCGATGGGATGGTTTGTTTCAGCCTTGGAGACTGTTGGCTTGAAAACCGTGGTGAAGGTAGACTATGTATCGCATGAGAAGTAGTGCACGTAAGAGATCTGTATCTAGCAATTGAGTCAATGTGTACATAAACGCGAAGGATGCTGTGAGTGTAGCATGACGAGGGATTTGCTTTACCGACACCATGTTGCGACGGATGTCCTAGGAACGAACACCCGCTTCATGTGTTGTTGCACATTTTCCGCAACGGAATATTCTCCGCAGCAAACGGGGAACCCCGCCGCTTCATCAACAGAAGCAATGACACGGTGCTTTCGTAATCTCCTTGCAGCGTCGTATTGTGTAGTGAGGCAAGTTCTCTCGTGCGGGGTGTGCCACGGAACACCTGCGCTACTTATTTTAACCTTCGCTTTCTTCGTACATCTGATATATCGTTAGCATGCTCTCGCTACATGTTTCAGCTAATTGATCAGTGAGACTTGCAACCATGGCCAGTGAAGGAGATAATAGAGTCGTTCCTGTTGTCATCATTGGCGGCGGCCCAGTTGGCCTGACATGTTCCATACTACTGTCTTTGCGAGGCATATCAAATATGCTTTTCGAACGCCATCCGTCAACTTCAATCCATCCAAAAGCGTGCGGCATCAACCAGCGTACGACCGAGATTCTTCGTGTCATGGGAGTTGAAGAGGACGTCTACGCCATTGCAGCACCGGCCGAGATAGCCGGACGAACCGCCTGGTATACGTCGCTTGGAGAAGAGGGGAAAGAAGTGTTCTCCAGAGATGCGTGGGGACGCGGCCAATACGCAGCGGAATACGCCCAGCACAGCCCGTCGAGATACTGCATTCTGCCGCAGATAAAATTGGAACCGATCTTGAAACGACGCGCCGTGGAGTTGAATCCTCATCAAATCTTCTACGGCCATGAGGTGTTGACGACAGAGGATCATGGCGATTTCGCGGAAGTTACTGTGAAGAACCGCAGCACGGGTGACGTTTCCCGGCACAGAGGGACGTACGTGATTGTTGCGGACGGCGGTCGTCAGTTCACAACCCAGCTGGGATTCGAGTGGAGCGGCGAGGGCGACCTCTTGACCATGATAAGCGCACATATTCGCTCTCCGATCAGAGCACTACATCCCGATAACCGCAACTTCATAACTTGGTTCACGAACCCAGCGATGGGGGGCAGCACGCTCACCGGCTACCTTTATCAGTTGGGACCCTGGCCAGAAGCGATGACCAGTCCAGAAATAGAGGAATGGATGTTTGTCTGCGCCCAGGCAGCAGACGACCCAACCAAGTTTGATGCCGAGACGGCACTGGCTCGAGCGAGGAAGACCATCGGCATACCGGACCTCAACATGGAGCTGATCTCCCTAAGCGAGTGGACGGTGAATGCTCTTTACGCATCGCAATGGCGTGTCGGACGTCATTTCCTGGTGGGCGACAGCGCTCATCGCATTCCACCATGGGGCGGTAAGTAAACCACACGCATTTGATGTCACATATGACATGATCTTCGAACAATGCTGATTCTGGAAAAGCCCTGGGAATGAACTCTGGTATACAAGACGCAAATAATCTTGTGTGGAAACTGTCCATGGCTCTCAAGGATTCAAGCAGGCATTATGACAGTCTCCTTGACACTTATTACGAGGAGCGCTCAGAGGTCGGAAAACGCGTTGGACAGACCAGTCTCAACAACATGCGCTCTCACTCAGGCCAGATTGACCGTGTCATGGGCGTTAGCGCGTCGCAGAGTCAGGCCGAGAACCTCGCGGCAGGCACGGCATTCTTCGACAAAGTACACCCCGAATATGCAGAAAAGCAGCGTCTTATCCAGTTGGCATCGCAAGCATTGAACACCGAGTTCAAGGCACCAGGGTACGAAGTAGGCTGGTTCTACCCAAGCGCAGACATCAACTCTGGGGGTGGAGCGACACATGGAGGACAACAGCTCGCAGACGGCACACTAGTACATCACACGTACTATATGTCGACGATTCCAGGGCATCATCTGCCCCATGCGTGGGTGACGCGCGACGACAGGACAGTGGCATTGCGTGATCTCTTGGACTTGGACGCACTAACCCTATTCGTAGAGAATGCGCTAGAGGAGAGGATCGACGACGACAGGGTGAAAGTGGTGGTTTTTGGACAAGATGAATGGCAAGATAAGACTGGGCAATGGGAGAAGTACCGCGGTGTAGACGGGTCTGGCGGTGTGCTTGTGAGGCCCGACGGGATTGTCGCTTGGCGAGGATCATTGACACAAGCCAGAAATGATGGCTGGACACGGCTTGTCAACAGGATTCTGAAAGTCGTTTAGTAGTCACAAAGGCTGCGTTGGACGGGATAGTTTCAGCAAACCCGAAAGTGTGGGACAAGTTCGTCTTGCGGTGCGGAGTTGCGGGGGTCCCCGGGCCTGGTCACCGGAGGGTCTCCGATTCCAACCTGGCTATATTTAGGTGGATGCATAAGATTCAATCCAGACGAAGCCATTTCAATCTGAACTGTAACTTGCTTCGTTCGCCACTCCGCGGTGCTGACCGGCAACAACTTCACAGCATGGATGCAACAATCGAGTGGTTCGGTAAGTTGCCACCACATTCAGTGTCTGTTGACTGCCCAGCCGGGATTCATGAGGCTCATTAATTATACAGGTGCCACCACGTTTCGCGTGAAAGCCAACGGCCTCGTCATCTTCTTGGACACATGGCTTGAGCGACCAGATGTCCTGCCCAAAGTGTTGGCTATCGACGATGTGACTGAAGCGGATTACATTTTCATCTCCCACGCACATTTTGACCAGTGAGTGTCACACTAGCATTGTAATCATATCACTTCGCACACACAAAACCGGCTCACTAGGTGTCTCTCAGTCTTCCCGGAGCCGACAAGATCGCAATCAAAACCGGAGCGCATGTAATTGCCAACGGCGAAGCTATTAACGTCCTTCGGTCAGCTGGAGTGCCCGAGGACCAATTGATCCCGGTATCTGGTGGCGAGCGCATTCCTCTTTTCCCTCTTGAGTGTCGCCGCGCCGCGGCTCGTGGTGAAGTTGACATCGCTCCTGGGCCACCAGGCGCACCTGCGGCTCCAGATGGTAAACTGGCCGCGGCTTCCGTCCATGTCTGGCCTTCGTTGCACTGTCTGATGCCTGGTGGCTCGCATGCAGATGTGCCTGCGATCATGGATACGGGCAAGGAATACATTGGAGGAGCAAGCCAGTACGCTTGTACACTGGATATCACATTCGGTATGAAATACGGCCTCCTCAAGATCGGCGACCACATACCTCGTGACGCTGTGGACTCGGGCATGCGCTCATTCGTCGACTACGTCAACGGTCCGGCGAGGGGATGTATGTCTCACTTTGACGGAGGGCAGCTTATGTACAACTTCCTGTTTGGAGAGGGCAAGACACTGCTGTGGAACGGGCATCTGGGCGCATACGATGGAATATTGAAGACGGTGCAGCCACAGCCAGACGTGCTCATTCAGGCGATTGCTGGGCGGGCAAACTTGAACGGGCGGCCGTTTGATGGGTCGGCGGCGCAGTTCGCGGTACAAGTGTCGAAGCTTCTGGGAGAGCCCAAGAAGGTGATCTGGTGCTTGCACGATGAGGCGCCGATCAAGCCGTGGACGGTGGATGTAAGCCCAGCTACGCAAGCGGTCGAGAGGAAGACGGGTTCCAAGGTGACTTCACTGCATCTAGGTACATTGGATATACTCTTCTGAAAATTGCAACATGATTATAATACAAAGGATTCAACTGACGGCTTCAGAGCAATACGATGTCTTTCATAACGTTTCAGCTGTGCCGGCTTCTTTCACATGTGAGGCAATCTGACCTACTGATGCAAGTGTTACCGATATTGATTGAGGAGACAGAGTGTGCCTCGTCTCCTCAACACTAACGAGTTGCGGTGGCGGTCGGTAGAGTGCAAGACGGGAGTCGCTTCTCGGCGTCCCTCCACCCCCGCGGCCCCGCCGCATTCTCCACATATTTCGGGCTCCCCCACCCCCGCCGCCGCCCCGAGATTTCGGAACCCCAACATTTCCCCTATTGCTCCGCAGACATACCGCAATTTCACACTTCACTACATCGTTCAACATGCGATCGCGTGCCTCCGCAGTTGCCAATAGAGGCGATAACACCGATAACGATGGCGCTGCCGATGGCATCGGTGACGACAATGGCCCCCCATCCTCCCCCTCCTCCTCCCCCTCCGCATCACTGCCGTGTCCCGAATGCGGGCAGACCTTCCGTCGGCGCGAACATCTAAGTCGGCATCTGGACCGCCACTCCGGCCGTCGTTCTCACACATGCAACATCTGCAAGAGAGCCTTCTCCCGGAGGTATGTATTCTCCGTGCCTTAGACAGCGCGTATTCAACATGTTGTATGTCTCGTGTGTCTGTGACTGACTTTCGGCGGGAAAAGGGACACCTTGAAACGGCATGTCCGCACACATGGCACTGCAGTCCTCGCTGAATGGACGCAAACCAATGATGATAATTCCTCACGAGACCAACGTCGCGCGTGCGAAGCCTGCGCCAAAGCTAAACAACGCTGCGATGGTCGCAGGCCGGCACCTTGTACCAATTGTACAAACAAAGGTCGTCGCTGCTTGTACCAACCAGCTTGTGTTGACAACGAGACTATCCTCGTTGCGCAACCTGCAGCCGATGACGACGTATCCGCCGCCCTCTCTCCGCCTCGCCAGCACCTGCAGCCCATTATTTCGCAATCTTGCGTCTCAGACCAGCTTTCGCTCGAGCCAGACCTCCTTTGGGATGCCCTCTTGACCCCGGCGCAATTCCTGTTTCCTTTCTCGCCGGTGCCCTCTCTTGGGCCTGGGACATCGACAGACTTCTGCTTCGGAGACGCCGCCTTGGCTGCCGTCGGTCAATCTGCGGATGACCAGAGTGTGCAGAATAGCTTCGGAGCCAAAGCAACACCAAGAGTAGGCGTAGAGGTCGTTGAGGTCTTTAATGTACCAGACAACCTGACAGCAGAAGAAGAAGACATCCTGATCGCCGAGCACATTCCTCATGTACCTCCTATGACAGCAGAAACGCGAGCACACATGATCCAAGCCATCAAAGCCCGACTACCACAGCACGAAGCCCAGGGACTTGACGCCAACTTCCCATCCTTGCGATACCTTGATACCTATATGCAATTGTATTTTGAGCACTTTCATCCACGCATGCCTTTGTTACACAAACCGACATTCCAGGCGTCGTCTGAGATGTGGCAGCTGGTGCTCAGTGTGGTGTGTCTCGGCAGTCGATACTCCTTAGCGCACCACCATCAAGATCATGTTCTACTACTGCAGCGAATTGCCCAGCACATGCTGAAAAGAGACGTAAGGCCCATCATCAAAATATTCCTCATGATATCGTACTGATGCGACATTCAATTTGTTGCAGATTCGAGAGCTTTCGAGCCATGACGTTCTGACATGCGCACAATCTCTATTGCTGTTTCATCAGAGCCAGTGGCTCTCGGGCGAGTGGAACATTGTCATGGAGGTGCAATTCCACCGGAATATCCTCGTCACCTTGTGTCGCCAACTTCTGTCTCGAGAGGGCACTTTGATGCACACGCATACATCCGCTGAAGACGCGAACCACGCATGGTCCCAGTGGATTCAAGCCGAATCCAAACGTCGGATCATACACTTTACTTGGAGTAAGTCATCTTCATTAAACCCACCCTCGGCGACTTGACTTACACAAAAAGGGTGGGAATGCCTCCAGGCAACATTCTTCATGCTTCCTCCTTTGCTCTCAATTGCCGAGCTGCAAACTCCGGTGCCCACAGCTGATGCGCACTGGTCATCGAGTTACGAGCAGTGGCACCTTCACCCGCCACCGCAGCCTTCATCAACTATCTGTGCTCTAATTGCACGCGTTGGTCTCGGCGATGTAGTGCCGACAAGTCTGGACCAACCGGCCAAGTCTACAATCCTGCTCTCGGCCATCGTGCAGCAAGCTGCCGAGAGCGATTTGCTACGAGCGATGGGACTTGGCTCTGTCGGCAGTACTGCCAGTCAACCCGGTCTAGCTCTAGGAATGGGGACAATGCTCTCCCAGAAAGCTTTCGATGCGTTGTCTCAAGTAGGGTGCTCTCAGGTACCGCGTGGAACGGACGCCGGTACCAACTCGAACGACTTCGCCTTGCTGTCTCGAGTTCTTTCCATCTGCTCGTTTACACCGTTGCGGCTACTCAACTCCTACAGCAAATGGCAGACGACAGATGCAGGCCACAGCAACGCCCGGTCCGAACTGTTGGACATCATACCGCAGAACGTCGGCAGAGCAAGGCACTGCTTGTACTATGCAGCGCAGGTTCTTCAGTACTTCCGCACTACCAGAGTTGCGACAATACTTGACATTCTAAGCGTCTTGATATGCGTGCTCTACATGGTGGTGTACGCAGATATCTTTGAGCAAGATCCCAGTTCCGCCGGAAGCGGGGTCAGCGTCGGAACTTCGAGCACGGAGATCATCCGGCTCGACCAAGTCGTTGACGCGGATCTTTTGAACGGCTGGTTGGAGGTCAGAAACCATAGAAGACCTCGTATCACTGGGGTCGGTCTCCTGCACAGCGGCCGCAGCGTGCCTCGTTTATATAAAGAAGCGTCGCGGATTATGGCTAGCGGATCCTCGGTCTCGAGGATGGCTAAGGAGATGTCGATGATTCTCGAGTCGCAAGGTAAAGGTTATCCTCCAGAGCTAGTTCACCGACAGGGCGGGTAGAGGACGGTGTGAGGCTGGTTGAGGTGCATCGGCAGCTTTGTATTGTTCGACATCTTTTAGTCTCTATTAATCGCAACGATGCGTCCCCCCGGCCATCAATATCATGATAGCTATCCACGACATATGTTTCTGTTGCCGCAAGTTGAATCCAGCGTACGTGAATCTCATTTATACGCCGACGACCGCAGGCTGTCTCAAGAAGCTGGTGAAGAAGCTTCCGAATCCCCTCAGGTCGCTCCAAGACCTAACCCACCCACCCAGCCGTCCGCCGAATTCCATTATTCCTACAGTATTCCCGAACTCTTTCTAGAAGTAAGAAACGTCTTTTTGGACCAAAAACTGTTCTCAGCTTAATTTGCGGATGAGAGGAGCATTTGAGAATCCCGTCTCGGTCTTCTCATGGGTGCCCGGCTTGCCATTCGTATCATCGTCTTTGCGCATCAAACACCAGAGTTCGTATTCGACCAGACCGCGAGCAACGATTGTACTGCCAATGTACCTGAACAGGCAGGTACGGGCATCGCCTTGGGCGGTAAGGAGCGAGCCAGACAACATGATTGTTCCCATGAGCACCTGTAAGGTTGGCGCAATTGACAGAATCCATTTTATGAACAACCGCAAAGGTTTCCAAACTTCCGATTTCGGTTTTCTGAGTCGCAACGGGGCGTTGTAAGCAGATAGCTGGAACTCATTAAAAAGCCACCGTTCAAACCAATTCATGTCCTCATCGTCATCGTCCAACCGGAAGTTCAGAAAGATGCTGAATATACCAACGAGATGAATGAGTAGCGAACAGTACGTGAATAGGACGGGGTCATATGTGTTGTTCGCCGACGCGAAGAACGCCAAATGACCGAGCTGGTATGACAGCAACGCCACATTGGCTGCCGCTCCCAGTGCCAGCGCGTACTCGACGAATAACACCATCATTGCCATGCCCTTGCTCTCCTTGTCAGGCCAGATTGGCCACTCGTCGGGCTGATCTTCTGACTGTTTCACAGACGGTGTCGTCGCCGTCGATTGTTCTCCTGCATATATCTTGTCGTGGATTTTGCTTTTTGGGTTGCGCGGCCAGGGTGACGAGATGGCGAGGAGCAAAGCAAGCAGAGGCCGACGCATGAACAAGAGGCTCGTCTCGGAGTTGTTGGGCCCGATGCTCTGGAGAACCACCGGCGCCATGCCGAACGTGAGTGCAGCGGCGGCTCCTTCTGCTTTTCGAGATTCTGAGAAATCGTCGAGTATACAGTCGACGACGAACCATTTCGTATCAGGGTTCTTTTTGTAATTGTTCAATTGACTGGAGCAATTTTCATCGAGAGACTCTTTTATGATGCTATCCCATCCTTGGAAGAAGTTTTCGAATTGCCCCTGAGCGAGTGTTGAAGGCACGTTGGCGAGGATGATAGGAGCGACCAGCCAACGCTGGCGCCAACGGCTGAGGCTAGAGCCGCTCATTTTGGAGAACGATGGCGTGGGGGAATCGGTGAAAGAAGGCTGTCAGAATTGCTGTGACAAAGCCTCAGATTTTGATGGTGGGGGTAACGAGCTTTATACACTGAAAAGACACAGCCTGATCTATGTTAAAACCCGCGCAGCCTGATTCTCTATCGTGCCACCCCGGCCCCCCCTGCGTGTATCCCCACGTAGCGAGATACCGTTTTGAAGGAGGGATGTAACACTTATTTATTGGTGTAATCATCCGTATCTTGCTGGAACCGGTATGGATGTCGCGATATGGCCCTTCGCAATCTCCACAAGACGTTACCACGAGAACGGTGGCAACGAATCAAGCATCGGTGAAGCAGCGCCTGATCTCGGGTTACACCTGGCACACACCTTATCTGCAATAGACTCATGTGGAGTCCAGGCGGTTACGGTACCCCATGCATTGTCTTTTGAAAGCAAATCCCGCTGTTCGGAAACCGCGGACTTGATGTCCTCGGCCTACGCCATCACGGCAGCAGCCAAGGA